ACATTAAACTTTTTTATGTTCAAAATCTGGACTTTAGACTCAAAAAGTGATTGACTGTACATTTTTAAGAATTTTTATCAAATTATTTCAAAATTGATTCAAATAATAACTGTTCCCCGACTCGAAACCAATTTGTGGCTATAAATTATAATTATGAAGAGATCGTATGAATCCGAGAGTGAATTAGTTTTGGAGACATTCACTCACAAAAGGAAAAAGTATAAGAAACGAAAGACTAAGTATTGGCACCAGAGATACGATCTGTTCTCGCGTTTCGATGAAGGGATTCGTATGGACTACGAGTCCTGGTATTCGGTGACACCGGAGCGCATCGCCCAACACATCGCCCAACGATTTTCGCTCAATAATCACAACTACATTATAATCCCCGAAATTTGCTCCGAAATATAGACACCAAAGGTGTTGGCGGTTGGCGGGCATCGGCAACAACGTTGAGATCGAAAATAATATAATACACAACAAAATTAAGACCAAAACTGCATATTTTGGTGATTTGATCCAATCATAGATGTGTTTCCACGATGGATAACATTATTTTTTATCATTTCAAAGTCTTATATAGTATTATCATTTTGTTATAAAATAACAATTTAATTATTTCTCTACATTTGTATCAGAAAGTCTTTTAAATAAATCTTTGTACGGTATTAATATTTTTAAAATTTTAAACATTTAAATAAAATCATATTTGAATCATCTCTTAATTCGATGAATCCATTCATTGGTAATGAACTCAATGTTCGTGCCATCCCTGAAGTGTATCATCTCTTGTGTGAACCACTCTTGAGGATTAAAGTCCGGGAAGAAGTGTTTACACTCTCTTTCAAATGATTGTAAAGAATCTGATCCGTGAGTAGCATTTCGGGTGTCACTCAAGCCATACATTCCTCTTATAGTATTTGGTTCATTGAATTTAGTCCTAATTTTTACAAATAAATGCTTATTTATTAAAAACAATTTAAATAAATTCATTAACTAATAAATACATTACATATAGACCTTGGTTGGTCCCATCAATTGTCTCCAATCAGTGATCGCATTATGTTTTGCTAATATATGGGCGGAGACTACACCCGAAGACATGAATGATACTAATCTCCAATAGAAAAACTTATCTAAAATTATGAATGAATCAAAT